TAGCCATGCTGGTCTCTTTATCCGAATCGCCTGAGGACCAGGGTGACCCTCTGTCTGTATTAGAAGCAATTGCTCTAAATGCAAGTTAAGGTTACAAATATGCAATTTGAACTTCAAGTTTATAATCAAATATGTGATTTGAATTTTCTGTTCAGGTATATATATCAAATAATATAATGTGTACTTATTGTAGCCTGCAGAGTATTTTCCTCTGTGTCATGCTGCATGGTTGTGCTTCATTCGCAGATGTCTGCATTCCTGCCTGATCAGAGATGCTCGCTGACTTTGAGGTCACTAATTACTCATGCCACCATCCAAAGAGCCAAAGACAGATTAGAGACTTGTAATCATTTTAAGAAATCTAAAGGAATTCCCCCCCGTTCTCTCTGTTTCCTGGCAATGCTGATCCCTGTTATAGCTTCTCCCTGTAACTGCTGCTCCCTCTAATGTCTGATCCTTGTACTTACTGCTTCCTCTAATGGCTGATCCCTGTAACCGCTGCTCCCTCTAATGGCTGATCCTTGTACTTACTGCTTCCTCTAATGGCTGATCCCTGTAACCGCTGCTCCCTCTAATGACTGCATTTACTACTCCTTCTAATGGCTGACCCCTGTAATTGTTACTCCTTCTAATGGCTGATCCCTGTAATCGCTGCTCCATTCAAGGTGTATTTAGGCTGCAGAGGTGGGGAGGTCGGCAGCCAAGCCTCTCCATTATCATGGCCCTGCCATCAGAAGCCATCAATCTGCAGATGAGAGGGAGTGATCGAGATAAAGATAGGGAGGGAGAGAGATACAGATAGAAAGAGAGAGGGAGAGAGCATACTGATGCTGTCTGTCCCCAGCTTCCCTGCATAGACTGCAGGTCAATCTTGGCTTTGATTGGCTGGATGAGTGCATTGAGGATGATTAGCTGGGTATTGATACTTGTGTGAAAATAAGAGGCGACTGATTCCTATGGGCTTGGAGGCATTAAATCTCGCGCTCTATTGTCCCGCCGCTGAATATTCTGCGTTTCGAAGTGTTCAGCCTGTTTTATGTCAACGGTGCTCATCTCAGTCGATTCTGTAACTAAAGCCCGTTCTGAAGCTGACAGCCGCACTGCCGGAGGTAATGCACCTTTGTGCTGTGGATTATTTATCCTGAAGTCTTCTGGCGGCTGTGTTGTTGCTGTGTGTCTCCTCTGATGCCTGCGGTGACTTTGATGACATCGCCTGTGTAGCCATCACTCTATGGGGTGACCTGACAGACCTGCCTTTATTAAGGTGTTTCCACGGGCAGCCCCTTCAAAGTGGATCAGAAGGTCCTGAGATGAATAGCATTGGTGTTTCCCAGCTGGGAGTCAGTGGGAGTGGTCATTAGGAGACAGTGCTGTTGTTCTTCTCATGAAAGACTTTCCCTGGGAGATGTCCTGTGAGACTGTTTCCAAGAGGACAATATTTTAAGCAAATTAATGTCAGTCCTGTCATGGTAATATGATGGTTAGGGTCTCAGAGCACTGGGAGCCAGTGCCAGGAAGCTAAATTCGCACTGCGTTTTCCTCGCGTGTTTCCCCTTCCATCTACTCCTGGTCACCGTCCACTGGCCTAAATATGCACGTGTGAGTTTCAACCACTGTGGAGCCAACTGACTCATCAGTGACTCGTCCTGAGGAGGTGCCTCACTCTCGGTCTGACCAGGCTCCGTATTCCTTGGGATCATTAACTGCTGCATCCTGAGGTCTGCCAGATGCCATCCCAGAAGCACACAGCAGCAGAAATAAACACACCCAGAGAGATTCACTCCAGCTTAGACACTACATTTCTGTTTGTGGTTCAATCTTTGCGCTACTGGAAACATCCCAGCTGAGAAGGCATTCTGGGTAAGTGGTGCAGTGAATCGGTCCTGGGGTCTGAAGAGAGACTTGCGACTGATCATTTTTCAGTTGCCCTTTTTAACAGCTCATGAGGGATTTTGCCATTCGCTGAAACACTGATTTCAGGCTGGTTTTCTTTGTCTTGCTGTGGGTGGAGCCATCAGTGAAATGTTATCTTTCAAACACAGAAAACCATAGTTAAACCATGTGTGCATTTTTCTCTACATTTCCCAGTTGTGGCGTGTTGCATCTGTGAATGAATGACTTCTCTTAATTGATTTCACATTTTTTGAGTTGTCTTTGATCTGTCTTTGTATTACATGATTATCTTGGGTTAACTATAAGGTATGGCGATGCAGAGTTTGCAGTATTGCAGCTTGATGTAATACCTCAGAATGAAAAAAAACACTTCACTTCAGATTTCCTGGTATGACATCTGTAATTACAGCTACCATATTAATACACTTATTTATAAGTTCTGTCAGCCCCTCAGAATCCAACCAGTCGAGTAACATTTCTGTGTAAAGAAGAGTGTCATAAAAAAAGCTCTGAGAATAAAGGGCTCCTTTCCAGCAAGTACAGGAGGCTTCGTGCTGCCCTGAGGGGGGCGCTCCTGTTCAGCGTCATGCCCCTGATGTGAATCGATGGCCTGCGGACTCTCAGCAGGCTTTGATGTGAGAGTGAGAGAATCTCGCCAATCTCTCCTTCCCCAGCCTGCGTCCCTCCAAGGCACCGATTCCTGTCCTGCTAAGAGATTAATGAAAAAATAAGGAGAGCATAACAGCTGATTAGATGCAGAGCAAATCGTAGAGGAAGGGCAGCATGCAGGCTGAAAGCGATTGATTTGATTTTACTTGTTTTTATTTCTTAAAGCGTGATAAAGCCACAAAGGGAGGAGGGACTTTGAGTTTCCTCTTTCATGTAAGAAGTGGGAAAGAAGCAGATATTTCCCATTAATCATTCAGTGGGGGTTTTACCACATGATGCAACTCCAGAGAAGGAGAGGATTGAAGCGGTGTTGTTTGTGCAGAGCAGCCAGTGTTCTGTCTGGGTCTGGTCAGGAGAGCTGCTTGGAGCTCAGGGAATTCCTGGAGTCTGTCTAACTGCAGGTACCTTGCTGGTGGTGACCAGCCAAGGACAGACTTCTGTAGCACTGGCACTGACGTGGGTCCCACTGACCCCTGTAACCAGTCTGGGCCCCGCCCCCCCCCCATCCCTCCGCAGATAAGGGGGATACCGGAGACACGACAGACATGGTGGACATGGGGGACACAGCAGAAATGGCACACCTGTGAAAATCAGACAGCACATGAAAAATGCAGGCTGTTCAATTATGCATTACGTTGGGCCAAAAGTCAGAGATGAAGGAGGCATTTGGCAGGAGCAGAAGGCCCTGCACTCACAGACAGTTTGCCTGTGATGGGGAAGGTGCCCCCGGGGGGCGAGGGGCTCTGAAATCACATCTGAATGCCTTTCTCTGCAAGGTAGGATGAAGGGAGCTGATTAGGTCTGAGGCACGGGAGAGTCTGCCTTCTGAAAGGAGGTGGGAGTGATGGATGCCTCTTGTTGGCAGCCTAAGAACCCAGAAAACAGCAAGAGTGAACGCTGCCGCAGAAGTTTCCAGAAACACTGCTGCAGAGGATTCTGTTTCCCATTCAAGTATCTGTGTGTGTGATCTTCAGATGTTATTGTTAAATGACACAAATTATATACATAGATGTAAATGAATCTAATGAAATGCCGGTGAGTGCAGTAGCGGAGGCCTGAGCACAGCGCTTACCGTGCTGACCACAGGCGTGCATACTGAGCATATTTCCCAGCATGCAGCACTCTTGAGTGTCACTTCCTGAGTGTGGCTCCCTGAGTGTGAACATAAGAACATAAGAAATTTACAAACGAGAGGAGGCCATTCGGCCCATCAAGCTCGTTTGGGGAGAACTTAACTAATAGCTCAGAGTTGTTAAAATCTTATCTAGCTCTGATTTAAAGGAACCCATGGTTTTAGCTTCCACTACACTAGCAGGAAGACTATTCCATACTCTAACTACACGCTGTGTAAAGAAGTGCTTCCTCAAATTTGTTTTAAAATATTCTCCCGCTAATTTCCACTTATGGCCACGAGTTCTAGTATTTAGACTAATATTGAAATAGTCATTTGGCTGAACAGCATCCAGACCCGTTAGAATCTTATAGACCTGAATCATATCCCCCCTTAGTCTCCTTTGCTCAAGGCTAAACAGATTCAGTTCCGCTAACCTCTCCTCATAAGACATTCCTCTAAGACCAGGAATCATTCTCGTAGCTCTTCGGTGCACCTTTTCAAAGGCAGCAATGTCCTTCTTGAGGTATGGTGACCAAACCTGCACACAGTATTCTAGGTGGGGTCTTACCAAGGAATTATATAAGTGTAACATCACCTCCCTTGACTTAAACTCCACACACCTAGAGATATAACCCAACATTCTGTTCGCCTTTTTTATTGCTTCCCCCCCTGGAGGGGGACATGGCTACCTGGCTGATTCTTTCGTACACATAGAGCATGTGAACTGCCAGCTGTAACTAACACGGTGCCTTTTCCCAAAAAGAGCTGTGATTTTGTTACATCTACAGATGCATAAAGCTGCTTTCCTGTTTTGTACCTTTCCTCAGATTTCTGTGCTATTAACGGCATTTGTTGATAATGTTATCTTAGGAATAGTTGCTGACTGTATTCCAGTTGCTGTTTTTTTTATAGTCGTTGATTTTTGTCGATTATAATCCCTGCTGCCACACCAGCAGTTCACCCCCCTCCATCTTAGTACAATCTGGACTGTTGTCAGTTTCTGAGTTCCTCTCCCTGTCATCTTGGTACAGTCCAGTCAGCTGTCACTCTCTGAGATAAGCCCCCCTTTCCAGTTCATCCCCCTGCACCAGATTCTGGGAGTTGCCACATCTCATCTCGGGAACATTTTGTCAGCATAAATAAAGCCACCCCCCGCCCCCCTGGGCCATGGCCCATGTCAGCAGAAACAGCTCCTGGTGAATAATTCAAAAGACACACGATTTGCCTACAGCAGTAACAGGAACCACTACGCTCCGCCTCTTTTATCTGTGGCATGCGTGCTCACGGCTAATGGGCCTCATGTGTCACACGTGTGTGTTGCCAGGATACAGTCGGGATCGTACCTGAGCACGGGCTGGTTCACGCTCATCCTGGCTATGGACATGTGCAAGGAGATCCACGTCTACGGCATGATCAACGACACCTACTGCAGGTACGGTGTATCACTATCAGCAATATGCATAAAGAGCCTGTTATCGATGGGGGGTCTGGTAAACGTTCCAGCAACCTGGCTGAACCAATTATTGTTTAAAAAAAAAAAAATCTGTCCCAGAAGCCTTTGCAGCTGGTCATGGCATCCATCTTATACTCATTTCCTGCCACACTGCGGAATGTAGGGATGGACAGGAGACAGGAGTGATTCCTCCAGTGGCTCAAAGCCTGTTCATCACTCATCCCACCAAACACCAGCATATCTCTACTACCTATGGGGGTTCTGTTTCAGTGTGGTGGTGGTGATGATGATGATGATGATGATGACAGTCCACCCCTTCCAGTTTTCTACCTCTAGATGTAACAGCACTAACAGGGGTTGCTGGTCTGGTTTCAGTGTTAACGACAGTATCAGTGTTAGCGTTAGCCCTGCTGGTCTGGTTTCTTTGTTAGCATTAGCATTTGCCTTGCTGGTCTGGTTTCCGTGTTAGCATTAGCGATAGTGTTGGCCTTGCTGGTCTGGTTTCCATGTTAGCATTAGCGTTGGCCTTGCTGGTCTGTTTCAGTGTTAGCATTAGCATTAGTGTTAGCCTTGCTGGTCTGTATTCAGAGTTAGTGTTAGAATTAGCCTTGCTGCTCTGGCTTCAGCATTAGCATGATAGTTAGCATTAGCTTGCCATGTGGCACGGTCGCCTTATTGCCAGCGTGCTTCATGTCTGCCTCATTAGATCCATCCTCATCAGCGCTTCGCTGGGATTTGCCACAGTACCATTTCATGTGTAAACATCCCCAAGATGCTGCTGTCTGGGTGTTTATTGGTTCCATGTCATCGGATTTTAAGACCTAACTGTGCACTGAAATCCAGCTGCTGCATGGCAAAGTAAGACATGATGTGTCTGGACAGAAAACAGCCCTGAAGTCCAGATGCTTCTTCTCAGAAGCTGGATGGTGTTTCCCAGCCCAAAGAGACGGTGACTCTGCATGATGCCTTTGTGAGATAAACCTCCCTGAAAAAGTGATGATACTTTTCAATACTTTTGAAGTCTTTTGTCATTTTCTCTCCTTTATTTTCAAGACAACATTTATTTTGACCGTGTCACAGTGCATTAAGCTTTCCAGGTGCTGGGGCTTCTTCCAGCCATTGGCCCTTCTGACACCCCCTGTCTGACTCCCCCCCTCGACTTCCTGTTTATTCACTTGACTATCTCTGTGCTGTCTCTCGGTATGCAGGACAGAGGGCTACCGGAAAGTTCCATACCACTACTATGAAGCCGGAAGTCGAGATGAATGCGCCGAGTACCTCCTGCATGAGAGCGCCCCCTATGGTGGCCATCGCTTCATCACTGAAAAGTCTGTTTTCGCCAAATGGGCCAAAAGCCACCGGATAAAATTCCTGCACCCGGTGTGGTCAGTGTCCTGACCGGGGAGGCTCGGCGTCCAGCCCCTCGCCAGTAGGGAGGACAGACACCCATCGGTGCGGAAGGTGACCAGAATTCTGTGCCCATGGGTCATTTTTCCATTTTCTTTTTCCAACTGTGAAATACTGAACTTGAGTAGCAGTAGTGAGGGAGAAATTCCACAGGCCACCACAGCGCCACCTGTTGGAAGCGATACTGTACACTGCTCTGATCATGGGTGTTCAATGGGGAAAGAGGACCAATACCCTGATTTGCATTCTGTTTCTCAGCGAGGTACACAGAGCAGGTCGCATAGTGACAGCTGCTATCCGGAAGGTGTGTGTTCCCCCTCAGTGTCTGGGCCCCCCCGGACCTGCCCCGGAGCACTGGGATTTCGGCGTTTCCGGCACCAGTTAAGGGTCCTTGTCCTCTGTTTGATCTTGGGCCAGCTCTGACGGCTCGTTTACCTGCCACATGGCGGACAGTACCGCTCACGGGGGGGTTGCTGATGTTGGCATGTTTGTTTCACGGGGTGTTCCCGCTGCTAATGTGACGTCAGTCCCCCGAGCACCAAGCATCTCCGAATGCTCCAGGAATGTCGCCGTTGGGGGCCGTGCGGCACCGACTCCCTATTCTCACCCCTCCGTCACACTGTGTCAGCTGATGTACCATCACACATGAATGGGCTCCCCAGCTTCTTTAATCCCTCCTCTTTTGGGCAGCATTCCATTTGACTCCCTGCGTCTCCTGGTTCTGCCTTGCCCCCCTCCCCGCCTGCAGGCCCGGAGCCTGCCTCGGAACGCAGCTGGGGGGCCCTGACGGCATGCAGATGGCACGGCACCGTGCGGTTACACTGAGGCATATGTTGCTTCTTCAGCCCTCCCCTCGTCGGTCTCCTTGGAGATGGGCGTCGCTGGTAGTCTACGGTTTCCAGAGAATATCGGTGATGGTGTTCCTGGTTATACGGAGTGACTCTGTATGACCATGCTCCTGTGTGGGGAGTCTCTGGTGACCCTGCATCATAGAGCCTGGAAAAAATTAAGAGACCACTCTATATTTTTAAACAAATCTGCATTTTTAAATCCTGGTTTAATCGTGGCTCTGCTGGCAGAAGGCTATGCTGAGCAGCAGGTTGCTTCCAGGTTCAAAGTTTCTAAGACAGCAGTACACAGGAACAAGGTGAAGCAAGAGACACTGGGAACGGCCAGAAACCGGCCAGGTAAAGGGTGGAAGCAACTTTCTAATGCCAGAGATGACTGTCAACTTACCCGACAGTTTCTCATGAATCAGAGGATCACCTTAAGTGACCTTCAAATGGAATGGGAAGCATGAAGTGCAGGTGTGAAGTGCAGTGCTAGGAGAGTTTGTATTGGGTTTCTAGAAGCAAGACTGAAGACCCATACAGCAAGGAAGAAGCCCTTTATTAATGAGAAAGAGAGAAGAACCAGACTGCAATATTCTCTCTATATAAAAAATATTTATATTAGTCACAGATATACACCCATAAATTGAGATATGAGTGAAACAAAAATATTGTGCTGTGGTCTGTTAATTTTTTCCACAGCTGTATATCATGGTGTATATGGTGGTGGTGGTGGTGGGGGGGGAGGGGGGTTCTGTTGATCACTACGAAGCGTGTCAGACACACCCTACCAGCAAATGCAGCCACTCGCTGTTTTTTAATCTGTGGAAAGTCATTGTGCATTATGTAATTGTGCCACGCAGGTTCTGTGTTTAACTCGCTGCTCTACACGAGTATGACCATGTTTCTCGCTGTTTTACACGTGTAAGACCATGTTTCTCGCTGTTTTACACGTGTAAGACCATGTTTCTCGATGTTTTACACGTGTAAGACCATGTTTCTCGATGTTTTACACGTGTAAGGCCATGTTCCCCATTGTGTTACACTTGTAAGGCAGTGTTTTTCGTTGTTTTACACATGTAAGGCCGTGTTTCTCGTTGTTTTACACATGTAAGGCCTTGTTTCTCGCTGCTTTATATGTGTAAGACCGAGTTTCTCACTGTGTTACACATGTAAGACCATGATTATCTTGCCGTTTTACATGTCTAAGACCGTCTTTCTTTTGCTGTTTTACATGTATAAGACTATCTCATTGTTTTGCATGTATCAGGTCGTGTGTATCTCGCTGTTTTAAATGTGTAAGACTGTTTTTTTCTGAAGCTGAAACAGCAGTACATCTACAGTATTAACTGAGGGCATCGTTCCTTCAGACATGTCTCATAAATTATTCTCAGAGTGTGTTTAAAACATCGCTCTTGTGCGCGATGCCCATCTTTGCAAATTTCACTTGATTCTCATTAAAATTTAAATTAACTTTTGGGTATTAAAGGGGAAATGAAATTTCTTAAAAGTCTGTTCCCTTTACGTAATGAGTATCTGCTCTTCATTCGCTTTTAAATTAATTCCTTGCTTTGGCCATTACCTTGAGTGGCCCAGTGCAGTTACTCCGTGCTGTTACTCTTGTTTGCTCGGTTGCCATGGTGAGTGCGGTGCTCCAGCACAGGCTCGCGTTTTAGTTACTACCATCACCCTCAGCCCCCACCTCCAGCTTAGCCCGGCCGCCTTTGCTGATGGATCGCAGCCCCTCAGCCTCTGATCCTGCCGCTGCTACTGTGGCTTCCACATATTGCTATCAGCTGATATTTCTTAAAAATCAAGACAACAGCACCAGTCCAATGTATCAGTGTTGGTCGATATTGACTTTAGTTACCAGCAGCACAGCTAAAGAGGGATAGTAATGCAATTAAAGTAACAGAATAATGGCTCCCAAGTCACACCTGCTTTGCTGATATCTCACTGCCTGTGTTATATGATGTGGTTACTACACACATTTAAACAGTAACATCACCAACATCAGTTTCACTACAGATTTTGGAACTCAGACCTTAGCCAGTATTCAGTATGAGATATATTACAAAAAAATATATCGGCCAAAATTTCCAAAGCAGAGCAGCATTAGCGCTCAAACCTCCTGCCTCTCCCTGGTGTGTGTGGTCCCTCTCAGACCTCCTGCCTCTGCCTGGTGTGTGTGGTCCCTCTCAGACCTCCTGCCTCTGCCTGGTGTGTGTGGTCCCTCTCAGACCTCCTGCCTCTCC